AGTCCATCGCAACCCTTTCGCACAAAATGGACGTTGGACGTCAAAAACTGATTTAAAATTGCGATTTAACTTGGTCCATCGCAACCCTTTCGCGCGAAATGGACGTTGCACGTCAAAAACTGAAGTAAAATTGCGATTTTTCTTAGTCAATCGCAACGCTTTCGTCTGTGTAAAAGTGTCTGTGTGTAAAAGCCTTTGTGTGTAAAAGCCTCTGTGTGTAAAAGTGTCTGTGTGTAAAAGCATCTGTGTGTAAAAGCGTCTGTGTGTCAAAGTGTTTTTGTGTAAAAGCGTCTGTGTGTAAAAGGGTCTGTGTGTAAAAGCGTCTGTGTGCAAAAGCGTCTGTGTTTCAAAGTGTCTGTGTAAGTGTCTGTTGTGTGTAAAAGCGTCTGTGTGTAAAAGCCTCTGTGTAAAAGCCTCTGTGTAAAAGCCTCTGTGTAAAAGCGTCTGTGTGTGAAAGTTTTGTTTTTGTGTAAAATCTTCTGTGTGTAAAAGCTTCTGTGTGTAAAAGCTTCTGTGTGTAAAAGCGTTTGTGTGTAAAAGCGTCTGTGTGTAAAGGAGTCTGTGTGTAAAAGCTTCTGTGTAAGAGCGTCTGTGTGTAAAAGTGTCTGTGTGTAAAAGCTTCTGTGTGTAAAAGCGTCTGTGTGTAAAGGAGTCTGTGTGTAAAAGCTTCTGTGTAAGAGCGTCTGTGTGTAAAAGCTTCTGTGTGTAACAGCTTCTTTGTGTAAAAGTGTCTGTGTGTAAAAGTGTCTGTGTGTAAAAGGGTCTGTGTGTAAAAGCGTTTGTGAGTAAAAGCGTCTGTGTGTAAAATCGTCTGTGTGTAAAAGCGTCTGTGTGTAAAAGCGTCTGTGTGTAAAAGAGTCTGTGTGTAAAAGCGTTTGTGCAAAAGCGTCTGTGTGTAAAAGTGTCTGTGTGTAAAAGCCTCTGTGTGTAGCGTCTGTGTGTAAAAGCCTCTTTGTGTAAAAGTGTCTGTGTGTAAAAGCGTCTGTGTGTAAAAGTTTCCGTGTGTAAAAGCCTCTCTGTGTAAAGGAGTCTGTTTGTAAAAGTGTCTGTGTGTAAAAGTGTCTGTGTGTAAAAGCGTTTGTGTGTAAAGGAGTCTCTTTGTAAAGGCTTCTGTGTGTAAAAGCCTCTGTGTGTGAAAGTGTTTGTGTGTAAAAGCGTCTGTGTGTAAAAGTCCCTGTGCAAGCATCTGTGTGTAAAAGCCTTTGTGTGTGTGTGTAAAAGAAAAGCGTGTGTGTGTGTGTGCGTGTGTGTGTGTAAAAGCTTCTGTTGGTAAAAGTGTCTGTGTGTAAAAGTCTCTATGTAAAAGCTTCTGTGTGTAAGAGCGTCTGTGTGTAAAAGTGTCTGTGTGTAAAAGCTTCTGTGTGTAAAAGCGTCTGTGTGTAAAGGAGTCTGTGTGTAAAAGCTTCTGTGTAAGAGCGTCTGTGTGTAAAAGCTTCTGTGTGTAACAGCTTCTTTGTGTAAAAGTGTCTGTGTGTAAAAGTGTCTGTGTGTAGAAGGGTCTGTGTGTAAAAGCGTCTGTGTGTAAAAGCGTTTGTGTAAAATCGTCTGTGTAAAAGTGTTTGTGTGCAAAAGCGTCTGTGTGTAAAAGCGTCTGTGTGTAAAAGCCTCTGTGTAGTAGCCTCTGTGTGTGAAAGTGTGTGTGTGTGTAAGTGTGTGTGTGTGTGTAAAGTGTGTGTGTGTAAAAGCGTCTGTGTGCAAAAAGCGTCTGCGTGTAAAAGCGTCTGTGTGTAAAATTGTCTGTGTGTAAAAGGGTCTGTGTGTAAAAGCGTCTGTGTGTAAAAGCGTCTGTGTGTAAAATCGTCTGTGTGTAAAAGCGTTTGTGTGTAAAAGCGTCTAAAAGCGCCTGTGTGTAAAAGCTTCTGTGTGTAAAAGCTTCTGTGTGTAAAAGCGTCTGTGTGTAAAGGAGTCTGTGTGTAAAAGCTTCTGTGTAAGAGCGTCTGTGTGTAAAAGCTTCTGTGTGTAACAGCTTCTTTGTGTAAAAGTGTCTGTGTGTAAAAGTGTCTGTGTGTAAAAGGGTCTGTGTGTAAAAGCGTCTGTGAGTAAAAGCGTCTGTGTGTAAAATCGTCTGTGTGTAAAAGCGTCTGTGTGTAAAAGCGCCTGTGTTTAAAAGCTTCTGTGTGTGAAAGCCTCTGTGTGTAAGAGCTTCTGTGTGTAAAAGCCTTTGTGTGTGAAAGTGTTTGTGTGTAAGAGCGTCTGTGTGTAAAAGCGTCTGTGTGTAAAAGCTTCTGTGTGTAAAAGCGTCTGTGTGTAAAGGAGTCTGTGTGTAAAAGCGCCTGTGTGTAAAAGCTTCTGCGTGTAAAAGCGTTTGTGTGTAAAAGCGTCTGTGTGTAAAGGAGTCTGTGTGTAAAAGCTTCTGTGTAAGAGCGTCTGTGTGTAAAAGTGTCTGTGTGTAAAAGCTTCTGTGTGTAAAAGCGTCTGTGTGTAAAGGAGTCTGTGTACAAAAGCTTCTGTGTGTAAAAGCGTCTTTGTGTAAAAGCGTTTGTGTGTAAAAGCGTCTGTGTGTAAAAGTCTCTGTGTAAGCGTCTGTGTGTAAAAGCCTCTGTGTGTGAAAGTGTGTGTTTGTGTGTAAAATAAAAGCGTGTGTGTGTGTGTGTGTGTTTGTGTGTAAAAGCTTCTGTGGGTAAAAGTGTCTGTGTGTAAAAGTGTCTGTGTGTGAAAGCGTCTGTGTGTAAAAGCGTCTGTGTGTAAAAGCCTCTGTGTGTAAAAGCGTCTGTGTGTAAAAGCGTTTGTGTGTGAATTGGTGTGTGTGTGTGTGTAAAAGCATCTGCGTGTAAAAGCGTTTGTGTGTAAAAGCCTCTGTGTATGACACAGGTTATGTCATTTTATTATGGGAAATCCGACATAAATGGCCCAAAAAAGCTCGGTACCATGATGCCGTGCATGACACATGTTATTTCATTTTATTATGGAAAATCCCACATAAATGGCCCAAAAAGATCGGTACCATGATGCTGTAAATCACACATGTGACAAGACTTCACTAGTGAAATGTCTGCAAATGTTTGCACAAAAAAAGGTCCAATACCATAATGCAGTAAATGACACGCGTTATCTCATTTTATTCTGGGAATATCCCACAGAAACTATCAAAAAAGCTCGCTACCATGATGCCGTGTATGACACATGTCATTTCATTTTAGTATGGAAAATCCCACATAAATGGCCCAAAAAAGCTCGGTACCATGATGCTGCGTATGACACATGTTATTTCATTTTATTATGGAAAATCCCACATAATTGGCCCAAAAAAGATCGGTACCATGATGCTGTAAATGACACATGTGACAATACTTCACTAGTGAAATGTCTGCAAACGTTTGCAACAGAGCTCGATGCCATCATGTGCTTGATGTCAAAAACAGAACAGTTTGAGTTCAGGACTATAAAATGTCATATAGAGACACTCTTCAAAAGCTTCTGTGTGTAAAAGCCTCTGTGTATGAAAGTGTGTGTGTGTGTAAAAGCATCTGCGTGTAAAAGCCTCTGTGTGTAAAAGCGTCTGTGTGTAAAAGGGTCTGTGTGTAAAAGGGTCTGTGTGTAAAAGCGTTTGTGTGTAAAAGTGTCTGTGTGTAAAAGCGTTCTGTGTGTAAAAGCATCTGCGTGTAAAAGCTTCTGTGTGTAAAAGCGTCTGCGTGTAAAAGTGTCTGTGTGTAAAAGCGTCTGTGTGTAAAAGTCTCTGTGTGTAAACGCGTCTGTGAAAGCGTCTGTGTGTAAAGGAGTCTGTGTGTAAAAGCTTCTGTGTAAGAGCGTCTGCGTGTAAAAGTGTCTGTGTGTAAAAGCGTCTGTGTGTAAAAGTCTCTGTGTGTAAACGCGTCTGTGAAAGTGTTTGTGTGTAAAAGCGTCTGTGTGTAATTTCACAACTTTCCCCTCCATAGCTCATATCAAATTCACCAACCATTCACCGACTATTTTTTACGACTACCATACTCAGAGCTGCTTGAAGGACGTGTTTTTCGCTCTCCGGCCAACCGTCGTCTAGTAATATGTTTTAATGGGAATAGATTATCTAAGTTTAGTCTACATGATGCCTGGTCGCATTGGAGAGTTCAATGGCAGCGTGAATCGACATGGCTTGACCTTGTGGCAGCCAAGTATCCCGAGAAAGTAAAACCATTGTTCAACAGTTCATGTATGTTTATGTTGGTTTTGCATCATGGTTGAAAGTACGAACAGGCGCTTTGCTGTGGGCATGCTGCATTCTCCATGTAGTTGTTTGCTTTGCACCATTGTATAGGGATGCTGACTGGACGAGCGATTCAAGATATCACAGGATACGAGGGTTTTCTGTCCCCT